CTACGGGGGAGTCCAGAGACCCAGCCATTACGCTAACTGCTGGTTCCCAACGATTCCTTTTTTTTTTAAAAAAAAAAGTTTATTTAAATATATTATGTATTTATTTATTTTAAAATAATTTTTTAAAAGAATGATTTATTTATTTAATTCCATTTGTTATTGTTATTTTTTTAATTCAAGCAGAGAGACAGGGAGAAAGAGGGAAAGTGAGAAAGTAAGCCACCAAGTTCAGGACTCGAACTGTAGTTAGCCATGTGGGAGTCCCGCTCCTTAGCTACCAGACCACCTACCAGCCCCTACCATGCTTTCTTTTTTTTAAATAATTATTTTATTTAACTTTATTTATTTTAATTTGACCAGAGAGGGACAGAGTGAAAGAGAGAAAGAGAGAAAGGGAGTGAGAAAGCCAGCCACCAGGTCCAGGACTCAAACCGTGCTCGGTTCATGTGGGACTTCAGGATCCTTAACCACTATGCCACCAGCTAGCCCCATCCTACAACTATTTCCTAATGTTCAAGACTTTTTCTTATATTGTGAAGAGGAGGGTCACATTCGTAGGTGCCAGAGGTTAAAACTTCAATGTTTCTTGGGAACCAGCATAATGGCTATGTCGCTGGACTCCTACGTAGTTGACCACGGTTCGCATCCTGGACCCGGTGGCTTAAAACTCACGCCGGGCACATGTGCGTGTGTGCCCAAGATCCCGAGAGGAGAATGGAGGAGAAGGGATTGCGGCATGGTCATCCCCCCTGGGGGGTGATTTCTTGCTTTCTGTCTCTCTGTCTCTCTCTGTCTGTCTGGCGAGCGCATGCGCCCTATAGCGAAAACCTCTCAAAAAACAAACAAACAAACATACAAAAAACTTCAATGTTTCTTTATTTTTAAAAATGAATGATTACTATTTTTTATTGGGTCATCTGAAAATCATAACATATCTTTCTATGTTAATGCATCATGACTTTTCTGATGACGTCTTATTATTTTTTAAATTTGCTCTAGGCCACATGCACTCACCAGAGAGAGACAGTGGTAGGGGAGTGAGAAAGCTAGCCACGAGACTGGGATTTGAACTGTGGTCGGCCATGTGGGAGTCCAGCACCTTCACCACCACGCCATCTGCTGGTTCCTCATTTCTGTTCGGGAGACACACACCAGTTTCTTAGACAGTGGGCATCTTTATTTTGTGCTTGATTTTACCAAAAACATTGCATTACATTTCATCATAAAATATAACATTTCTATAAGTTCCTGGAAGTTGCTTTATCAAATTAAGGAAGTTTTATTCTGTTCTCTGTTTAGTAAGCATTTTTTCTTCTTACGTTTATCTTTTTTTAATGGGAAATAAATGTGGAATAGATACGTCTTGTAATGTGGAGAGGAAAATAACAAGTTGCGGAAGGATATGGACCACGTGGTAACATTTTTGTAAAGCTTCCAGATGTTCAAAACAGCCGAGTATACTCTTTATGAGAATATGCATAACTAAAGCTTTTACATGTTTTTTTTTTTAGGTTTTGGTCATAGGGCATGTGTGCTCCCTGGAGAGAGATGGAGAGAGACAGAGAGAGAGAAAGTGAGAAATCACCCTCCCAAGGGGCGATGGGGAATGGCCATGCCATAATCCCTTCTTCTCCATTCTCCTCTTGGGATTTTGGGTATGCACACCCATGTGCCTGGGTGATTTTCCAGCCACTGGGTCCAAGACTTGAGCTGTGCTCAGCTATGTGGGACTGTAGAGCCTTAACCACTATACCACCTGCTGTCTTCAAAGCATTTTTTATTTTTATTTATTTATTTTTTAGAGGTTTTTGCTATAGGGCGTGTGCGCTTGCCAGAAAGACACAGAGAGAGAGAGAGACAGAAAGCAAGAAATCATCCCCCGGGGGGGGGATGGCCACGCTGCAATTCCTTCTCCTCCATTCTCCTCTTGGGATCTTGGGCATGCACGTACATGCGCCCGGCATGAGTTTAAGCCACCAGCTCTGGGACTCGAACCGTGGCGAACTACATGGGAGTCCAGCAACATAGCCATTGTACCAGCTGCTGATCCTGCCTCAAAGCATTTTTAAATTTTAACTTATTTTAAAATTTCCATAAGGTGTGTTGTGTTTGCCAGAGAGAGAGAGAGACAGGGAGAGAGGGACAGAGCACCCCCTAGTGGGGTGTGGCCACACAGCAGCCCCTTCGCCATTTCTCCATCTTCTTGGGGTTTGGGGCAAGCAGACACATGGACCTGCCTTATTTTTCAAGCTGCCAGGGCTGAAATTCAAACCGCAGCCAACCGTGAGGAATCTGCTCCCTTAGCCACTGGGTACAGGGCCGACATTGGAAGTACTTTTTTTTAAAGAATTATTTTATTTAACTTTATTTATTTATTTATTTTAATTTCATCAGAGAGGGACAGAGTGAGAGAGAAAGAGGGGGAAAGTGAGAAAGCAACCCACCAGATCCAGGACTTGAACC